GACGTTGAAGAAACGGTCGTTCAAAAACCGTAGAAAGAGATCTTGGATGGGACCAAAGAACAATGGGTCTTTGATCCACCATTTTTAAATGCGCAAATTCAATCTTATTCGATCCTTTTATTAAGTTGTAATAAATTTGTCATGTGTCCATGTAATACAAATAGCCTTTACTATGCATAGTTGGTAAGTCTGATTTTAACTGTATCTGATCCTGTAAACTATTTACTGCAATTTGTAAGTTAGAATAATCTAAAATAGGAATAGAAGTTGGACAGTACAACTTCTATATTCTATTTTAGATTATTTTAACTATACTAAAAAAATCGTAGAATCAACTTTGAATAGGGCCTAATTTGACTACTTGCATCAATTTATATTATCGATAAGCAACATTTATTTATAGATTTTTCATGTATTACGAGTATATTTAAAAAACACTATCACTGCTTTACATAAGTTACGTACTTGCATTAAAATATTACATAATAAAAAAAGATTAATATTACTAAAAAAATTCTCTATCGTTATTATAACAATACAAAATTAATTTGATTGAATAGACTTATTCGATAGATTCAATGATACAGGATCTAAGCCCTATAAAATGTATTGTATTTTCGTTATGTTTCACTAGCATCTGCGTTGCTCCGGATTTAAAATATAAAAAAATTTGGTGGGAATTACACTAATTTTAATATATCATTGACCACTGTATACCCCATGATTAAAACCCGGGTATTATTCATCATCCATTTCTTGAATAAGACCCGTGGTATACTTATATTGATTTACTACTTTTAAACCACAGAATTTGTCTTACGCAGAATTTAGTCTTTAATCTATATTTGTCATGTAAACGAGTGAATTTGCTTAAAAAACCAATATGAATTCACGTTTATTTTATATCCTTATTAAAGATAAAGCAAAATCATTGAAATATCTCAAGCATTTACCGGATAAATTGAAAGGTCCCGAGCAATTACCAGGTAGTGCAAGTCTTTTTTTACCGATTCATAGGGAAGCTTTAAACATACATTACTGTACAAGAATATAAATTCAGCAAATGAAATATTCGATCCTCTTTCGGAAAACATCCAGATCAATAATGATTTATTTGTAGGTAATCTTACGAGAAAAGAACTGTTGGCAGCAATACCTGAGAGTCCTATTTTGGAGAAACTAAATAATGACAATGAACTATCGCTTGCAATGTATCTTAATGATGCTATTCTAAATGAGGCATTCACGGATTCATTCGTCAACTATCTTCTTACAGAATTAAGATTAAACAAACATCCGTTTAAGTTGAGATTGCAACCAGACTTCAGTTTTAGTGTATCCGACAAAGATGTATCTGCCAAGGCCGAATTTAGCATAAAGGAAAATTCGATGATTCTTATAGATAACATACGTAGTTTGAGAAAAAAAACAGAATATGGAGAATCACAGATATCTGCTGAAATTCTCGCATGTGCCTTCACCAATTTTGACCATGCTATCAGTCCTACAACGGGAGAGAGTCAAACGGTCTATGCAATGAGAGTTATTGGAACGAATTTTACGTTTTACAAAGCATTTCTGAGTAGGGACTATTTAAAATCCCTACACCAGGGTTTTCCTCCACATAATTTATCTGTAACGATATCTCGTTTTCCACCAAATGATAGTCAGAAAACACGCTTTGGTCATGACTATGCTGATAAGGATCATAGATTTTTGATTATTGATTTACTATATCGTTTAAAAGAATGTTTGTTCAAAATGTAACCTGATTTGACATAATATAGTTGGCAATGTAATAATTATTTAGCAATAACAATGTAGTATTTAAAATATTATGGAAAATGCTTTTAAGAAAAGGGTGAGAAAGAGCCGAAAGATTTATTTTCTTTTTAGTTGAGAACATATCGGGGTTGATAAGATGGGGCGAATAATTCTTTTTAGTATATATGGTAATAAATAAAATCAAACCGTGAAACATATAAATATATTACTGTGCTTTTGTTATTATCATCAGAGGTCTAACAGCTGTAATCATAAATTATTCCGAATAAATAGTGTTTATTCGTCGAATATTAGTCATTTAGTGAATATTCGTTTTTCTTTCTGTTAATATATATGTTGCGATGAAAAAAATCTAAATAATCTTTCCATATATGAAAAAAGCGAAAAATGCAATTACTTCGAAAAATGATCAGTTTACTTTTGCATGTGTATTGAGTGAATTTATTATTATCAATGTATATTAACTCGCATATTGCCAAGAGTTTTTCTTGATGTTTTACACTTACTGAATTTTATCACATGAATTATATCTTTACAATAAAGAAATAAAGAATTGAATATATCTATATTTTATATAAAAAAATGGAAAATGCTCAATACACGATTAATTCATTGAAAGAGTTGAATCCCAAGCTTGTATCCAAGATTACTAAACTCAAGAAAGAGAATGCTGAAATTCCTAAACTTAGAAGAGAGAAAGATTCACTTATGGCTAGAATAATGGAATTAGAACAATCTGCAAAAGAAAATGCGAAGAATGTGAAGTTAAGAGATGCCAAACTCAATGAGCTTTGAACCAGAGTTTTGAAATTGAAACAAAAGCAATTACAAAATGAAAAAGAACGAAAACATGCATCTGGCTCTGATAATCATTGCAGTAGACAATCAAAAACCCACTCCGCTTTAGCCGACCTCCATTTCAGGAAAATTTGGACTGCATACTTGTGCCGGATATTGAAACAATTAGACACGTATCATTTTTAACTAGACTAGATTAGCCATTAGAGATATCACGAAAAAAAACAGCCAAACTAAATTCGATTTATTCTTACTCATATAAAACAGAATTAAAGGTGAAGCAATTCTGGTTGAATTTTAATGTGTGGATGTCGTAATATCACTCGAAAACAGCCAAACTAAATTCGATTTATTCTTATTCCATAAACATAGAATTAAAGTAAAACAATTCAGGTTGAATTTGAATGTAGTGCTATTTTAGATGTTAGAAACTGGATGAGTATATACTGTGAAACTATATAAATAAAGATAATCGTTTCTATGCATGGAGAATACAATAGTAATTCCAAAAGGGAAAAGTGTCATTTTTTAGAGCTCATGCAGCAGGTAGACTAGTTAGGGATCCAAAAATTTTTTAAAATTTATATAACGATAGATTTTTCACAGGTTAGAGACGCTGAATACACACAAGCTTGTATGGATGGTGAAAAATACCCAATTATAATTTATCTGCCAAATAATTTGTTATTCGACAGAGACGATAGTTTAAACTACCTTAATTACTTTTAACTATAAATTATTATAATTTCCGGATAAATTCATTAGATACTATATACTGCCTTATAACCAAGGACTTAAGGTCAGCCTAAAAATTGAATTCCAAAGGAGTCAATTCCTTAGGTTGATCTTAAATCCTCGGCCAAATAACTTGGTTCGTTATCAGACAATGCCCGCCTGATAACTTATTATAACCCAAATGAAAATTTCTTAATAACTTGATTACGTATGCTACATACGTACGTACAAAAAAGTTTGCAATTTTAGCGATGGCGTACCTCATCTGCATCTTCAAGTAGCAGCGATAGTTACATGACAACTGTAACAGTGAAGTCTAAAGATAGGATGGTCCTACACTTCTTAAATTCCAAAACTAACAAAGCTTACCATAACTTCAGTATGTACGTCGCGTATTTTACAATTTAGTATATATTAATAAATTCAATTTAGTATAAATAAAAATTAAATATGGGAATACTGGGAATACTGGGCACAAGAAGGATTTTCTTGGCGATATCGCAACTCTTAACCATACAGATAAGCATGATTAAAAAAACTTGCACAAAGTATTATTCTTTATTGTAGACAATAACACAACTACAAATATTTGGTTAATAAACTTCCATATACAACCGCGTAAAGATCTATATGGATTATACACACGCGACATACTAAATTCATAATTTACCGTTACTTGAATTTATATAAATGTCTCGCCAATTTGTAATTTTTAATTTTTGCTTTTTCTTTGACTGAAAAACTTTCATCAAAATGGTTTTAAGTAATGCTATATCCGATCCTCGGTTGAATGAAAAAGATGACGCTACTGGTAAACCGGTTTGTATTATGAATAGTATATGAACAGGATATGAATAGGATAGTGCTATATACAGTATTATAATATCAAATTACTTTGGTTTTCATGCTTCAGTATCATACCATTTTACCTTGACTTTATTAAATTTGTCCCTTTTTTTTGAACAAAAAAAGGTGTTTTCAACTTGTGTTTATGGTTCTCGATGGACCACACAACCTATTCCAAAGTAAGAATATTAAATTTATGCTGAAGATTGAATTCTCTCGTCTTTTCTTGACTGAAATAATGATTCTTGACAGATATTCCTTACCTGATGATGAAATGCCACCGCAAATCGCCTATAAGCTCATCAAAGATGATCTTCAGGTATATTAATTAATCGCTTAAGCAAAATTAATGCCTTTTATTTTTGTTTAATTACTTAATTTTTTATGTATTAATAAGTTGGATGGTAATCCAGTACTGAACTTGGCGTCCTTCGTTACCACTTATATGGAAGAAGAAGCTGAAAAATTAATGGCGGAAAACTTGTCTAAAAATTTTATTGATTATGAAGAGTATCCTGTGTCTGTTGAATTGCAAGTATGCATATAGAAAATTGTTTTTATCATTAATTATTCCCACGACTTACGCTACCAAACTTACGCCGCCATGAAAACTCTTCTTTATAGAACCGTTGTGTTAACATTATTGCCCGTCTTTTTAATGCACCCATGGACAATCCACATTCCGAAGCAATGGGGGTTTCAACCATAGGTTCTTCCGAAGCCATTATGTTGGCTGTGTTGGCTATGAAAAAATTGTGGCAAAAAAGAAGGATCGCTGAGGGAAAGCCTACCGATAAACCAAATTTAGTAATGTCGGCATCAGGTAATGATATTTCAATTATTCCTTGAGATTCACACAATTTACATTTCTAAGCACAAATTGCTTTTTTTTTGTTTATATAGTCCAAGTTTGTTGGGAAAAAGGTATCGTACCTTCCGTTTTTTTTTTTTTTTTTTTTAATTCTTTTTATTGACTGATTTGGACGATTGTAGCAACTAGATATCTTGAGATTGAAGAAAAATTTGTTTACTTGACTGAAGGCTGCTATATTCTAGACCCAGAAAAGGCAGTTGAACTTGTTGATGAGAATACAATTGGCGTTTGTGTTATATTAGGGTATAATAAATTTTTGTTAAAATTTGATTTAAAGTATACAGTAGGTGGGCAAGAGTTCCACTGGTTGTTAGCAACTATTAATTTATTCATATAATCCCTTTTGGAGCTTACCCACCTATACTGCATTAAAATTCTAAGAATTATCATTTTTTGAAACTCGATCTTTTTAAACTTAGATCAACTTATACTGGTCATTATGAAGATGCAAAAAAGGTCAATGAACTTTTAAAAGTAAAAAATGAAGCAAATGGTTGGGATGTACCAATTCATATTGATGCCGCATCTGGTGGATTTGTCGCTCCGTTCGTGAACCATGATCTTCTTTGGGATTTTAGGTTTAAAAGATATTTTATTCTTATAATTTCAATGGTGCCAAATTTAATTGTAATGCCAAGTCATTCTTGGTAAATTTATAGGCTTGATTTGGTCCGTTCTATCAACGTTTCTGGTCATAAATATGGATTATGTTATGCAGGCATTGGATGGGCAATATGGAAGTCTCCAAAATATTTGCCAGAAGAATTGATTTTTAATGTGAACTACCTTGGATCCGATCAAGTACGTCATTCCTTGTTAATGAAAACATTTTAACTCTTATTAAAAATTTTTTTTTTTTTTTTAAGGCTTCTTTCACGTTAAATTTCTCCAAAGGTGCCGCAAATGTGATCGCCCAATATTATGTATTAATTCGAAATGGGCGTGCAGGATTTACAGCAATTATGACGAATTTGATGCAAATTGCTGATTATCTTGCCCAATCTTTAGAAAATACTGGTGTATTTGAAATTCTTAGTGATAGAAATGGTAATGGATTACCACTTGTAGCTTTTAAATTGAAGCTTAAAGATATTCATTATGACGAGGTTAGAAGATTTTCTTGATTACGATGTAATTTATCAAATTTAAAATTTTTTTTAAACCTATATAATCTTGTTTACAGTTTGATGTAGCCCAACGTCTCCGTGAGCGTGGATGGATTGTACCAGCTTATACAATGGCACCAAATACTCAGCATGTTAAGTTGATGCGTATTGTGGTTCGAGAAGATTTTTCACGCGAACGGTGTGACATTCTTCTCACTGATATTACGGCCACTATTGATCTTTTGAACAAATTAGACAAAGAAACTCTCTTTAAAAAGAGGTCTGTATTATTTTATCGCATATAGTTTTGTTATTGCTTTTTTTATATGCCATTATTGATTTTTATAATTTTTTTATAGAACTACGCAAGCAAGTTGGAATCTACTGAAAAGCGTTACGAGAGCTACTTTTGGTGGTGTTAAAAATGGATCACATAAAACTAATGGTGTCTGCTAAAGAAGTTATCAAAGTAGAATTAATTTCCATGCATTTTTGGAATACTCTATTTATTCATTCATTTATTTATTTTGAGCTTTATTTATCAATTATTTATTCAAGTTTGAAATAAAATAACTGTACTTTAGTCAAATGAACATAATATTTAATCAGTCTCAAACTATGGA